ACGGGCGCAACACTGAGGGTTGCGATCCGTTGCCGGACATGAAAAAAAGACAAAAAAAAAAAGCTTTATTTTTAATAATAGCACTGACTGAGCCTCAACTATCACATCTGCAAAACAGAAGGTTAACTAGATGATGCTGGAGGGAATTTTGATCTAACATTCTGTGACTGCAGGACCATACTGTCCTGGATGCTGAAGAGGGATAAAAGGAAACAAGCGACAGTCCCCATCAACATAATACAGCCATGGTACTGATAACGGGCAGGTACCCAAATGATGTTGTAGGAGAATACCTTGTGACATGGAAAATTCTGCAGCTCTATTGTCAAATGAGAAAAGAAGTTACAAAGAAGTATAGTATGATCTCCTTTTTGTAAAATATATACATACATAGAAAAAAACTGCACTGACATCTGGACAGCTTGGCAGACTAGATACATCAAGGCACCTAGCTGTGTGATTTCAAGGATTTGGGGGATACCCAATCTACATTGTGTGATAAGACAGAGAAGGAAGGAGATGAACACAGATTTTCAGCCACCTACAGCCATTTGCCCTCTGAAAGGCAGGCTGCCGGGTGAGTCACCGCGACACGTACAAAAGTCCGCCCACACTGCCTGACCTTCAGTGGCTCTGCTGCTACTAGAATAGGGGCTCACAGATATTGAGTCAGCATGTAAACCAGTTATCATCCCAAGTCAGGGTATTCAGAGATACATCTGACTGTGCTGTGGAAAAGTCATTAGTGTGGTCAACGAAAAAAGTGAACATGGGGGGTTTAGAAACATACAAACGCAGACCTGTTAGATAAAATCCAGGGAGGAAAAAGCCCAGTGTCATTCTTTAAGTAAATATTTCTTCTCCAAAAGCAGTCTTCTGTTCTGAATATTCTACCCTAACCCTCAGTCATATTTCTGAAAGAAGTCCAAACATAGATCCTTAAGATTCCCAAAACTATCCTGTATTTCTCCAAAGTTTTAATATGTTATTACTATGTATGGCTTGGTAAACTCTTTAGTCATATAAGAAATATTCCTGAAAGTAAAAACATGAAAAAACAATTATTTATCTATTTAAGAAAGAAAAAGAAAGAATCACCAAGTGTAGGAAGCATTCATTTTCTCTGGCAAAGAATGAGAGCATCCCCATCCCAAGGTCTGACTACGACCATATGGTGCATGTTAAAGTTGGCCCTGGAGTTAGGCTAAGTTAGGATATAGCTCCATCACTTACGAGCTTTTGGACCTTGGGCAAGGAACTCTGTGCCTCAACCTTTTCAGCAGTATAATGAGCATAACCAAAATGCCTACTTCACAGGGTAATGTGAGGATTAAATGAAACAATCCACATGTGTTTAGAAGTATGCAGGCGGAGTACATGGCAGTTGTTATTGCTATTATTATTATAATTAAGATTGAGGGAGTTGCTAAGCTATGCATCCCCCACACACTGATGGACATCAGAATTTAAAAAGCAATCATTTGCACAGAAAAGTAAAAATAGTAAATGTACTATGGAGACCTGGCAGACACTATCTTAACCAAGTGATCAAGATCAACTTCACCAGTAAATAAGACAAATTGATATTGTGTAGCTCCTGATACGATACAATGAGGAGGGCACATCACCTCTTTGGTATTCTTCCCCCAAATCCATAACTGCAATCTAATCATAAGACAAACTGAGGGACATGACATGCTACAAAAAAACCAAACAAGTACTCTTTTAGAAAGCATCAAGGTCATGAAAGACACACAAAGATTGAGGAACTGTCAGATTGGAAGAGATAGAGAAATATGACAACTAAATGCAATAAAAAACTAAAATGTGAATAAAGTTTGTAGTTTAGTTAATAGAATTACACT